TAGCTGTGGTACTTATGCATCACATGAGCATAGTAGTAGAGATGATATTAAGTAATACAGTGCAAAAATATAAATAGTGAATAGCAATAAGGAAGTAAGACTTCTTAAGCGCACTTTAATAAAGAAGGCACACATACAGTTTATGATATATTTTTTATTATATTTCTATTATTTTTATTTTTTACTAAAGTTTATTGTATAACCATTCTAAACTTTGAAGGCAACTGTACATATATCACATGAAGCATAACTACTGGAGCAGATCTTCTGCCTTTAACCCTCGTCAGGCACATGCTAAATCTAGAGAAAACGTCAATTATTAATAACTATATTTTTTGTCTATATATAATAAAACTATCCATACCTATATATCCTCGTCTTCGATCAGATACAGTGGAAGGGATCTGTATTTGTTTTGCTTTTGGTTTGGAAAGTTGCTCACAATAGTTTAAACCTTGAGCATTATTAAGGTCTTGCTCAGAAACTATTGGCCCACTACCTTTTTCAATTCTAGCCTTTTTATAAACTTTAGTAAACTTCCGTAAATGGTAGAAAAATATGTCATGTACGAAATAAACGATACTATGCTGGATCCCTTTAGTGACTGAAAAATTGCCATGGAGTAATAAATGTGAGACAAATGCTATAACTTGTCCTAGCTGAAGATGTATGACCATCTGGAGCTGAGGAAAATATAACTCTCCTCCTTCGTAATCCCCAGTGCAACTAAGACACATAAACTATTTGCCTCATTATGTTCATCCCAATAATAGTCACTAGTGGTATTAAAATTGATAGCTATTATTGAGAAAACTCCAAAGGGCTTTGGCACAAATGGACCCCATGACAACCTGCTTAGTTTCGCATATAAATCTCTATAATAATCTCGAAAGAACCGGTTGACAGAGTCTGATAATTCCTTGAAACCCTGAAGTAATTTGTTGATGCATTCATGGTAATCAATGTTATGCGTACTTGCAGTATTGGAGCTTGTAAAAGGGAGCAAGTTGTTTCTATTATAAGCCCCGAAATATTCAATAAAATTGGTCCAAAATTCGTCACTTCGATGTGAAGTATGCTCCAACATATGGAAATAATAATTATTTACAGCATTGGTTGCAAGTATGACGGTATTGTAGTCATCAAGTTGATCTAAGTGAACTAATGTTCGACCACTTAGATCCATAATGCACTCTGATTTTGTTATATGTTTGAATTGGACCAATTTACTTATTGATTGGAGATTATAACGTGCTGATATGATTAGATGAGTCTTTTCTCTTCGAATATTATGTGCAGTAGCTGTATCGAAAAGATCTTGAAAGTCCCTATCACTTTGGATATCATGACCGTACTAGAGTTTTTTCCACAACAACCTGAGGTGCTGTCATACGTGCTTTCTTTTTAATGGACCATCCTGCTTCTTTAAGCCTAACCACCGGCCAAAAGCAACTCACAATCGATTATTAGTGGTATTAAATAATGATCCCTTAATGCTGATATCGGTCTCTCTAATAATATCAGTATAGACTAGAGAGAGAAAATTTGATGGAATTTTAGACAACTCAAGAGAGTTACTGTCGGAGGATTTTGCTTCTCTAATTAGAGTTTCAACTAGCAATTCTTTGGCCGATATGTCATACCGAGTCTTATTTTTTTTGGACGATACCCGATCTGAAGAACAGAGAGAAACACTGTCTACTCCCTCTCCAAATAATAAATACTATCATTAGTGAATATTTTTCGGGTAGCAGATTGGATTCGGTGCTGAGATAGATTAAAGACGATATCATCGATTACCAAAAGGATGTCAACATCTAGCTCGTGAAGCATCTCGGTTTGTTTTTGATCATACCTAAGTTTTTTATTTTTATGTGTATAGGCCTGTCTCGAGAATTTGGTTTTAGTGGGTTTATCCTGTGATGCAATGACCTCTTCTTTTCATTTATTATTTGATATTTGTATTGTAATTGTTGTCTTAGGCAAAAAAATATTAGATAAATATTGATGGGTTGAAAAGTAAATAAATTAGATTCTTTATCGAAAGAAACTCTTTTATTAGGAAATTTATACAACAAACTAATAATATGTTTGTTATATTCAGTATTGAAGTCAATTGCGTGTCGCCA